AGACCAGGTCACTGAGCTCTGGAATAAAGCTCCCTCTGCTTTGGAAACAAAGTTCATGGTAACAGCAGGTCAGGCTTGAAGGAGGAATGAAGTCACACATCGGCTAATGAAAGCCCAGGTGCTTACCAGTCCTCCTGATCCTCCAGTGGCTGCTACTGCAGCCATGAAAAATGCTTTCACTCGAGGGCAGCCAACAAGAAGCCCTGGCTTATAATAGCCCCACCCACTTTCTGAAATGCTCGGCAGGGGAGGTAGTGGCAGGCACTGTCTTGGGGAGCCCTGGTTCAGGGTCCTCGCTTCTGATGATGGAATAGGCCAGTGGTGGCACTCAGAGCCCTCTCTGTGGGCACACGTGCCATCGCCCCAGCCAGGCCCAGACCATCATTAAAGTGTCGAATTCTCTGCCAAATAATTTTAAGTAAATGAAAGCATTTGGGATTGTTTTCCTTACTTTGTTTGGATCATCTTAAGTTAATGTAGGAGTTGTTTTTTCTAAAGTAGAACCTTAGTATTCAGGTTAAATTGCCATGTTGGCACTTTACGATAAATAAGGGGGTTTTGGGTCGCAGTTTGGGCACTCGGTCTCTAAAAGGTTCGCCATCACTGGAATAGGTCAAGTATCTGGGAAGGCCAGGTTCAAACTCCCTCTCTGTTATGGAAGCCTGATGGGTGACTCTGGGCAAGTCAGTCCTACAGCATCTCCCCCCACCTCCCAGAGTTGTCCTGAGGAACAATGGAGGAGTTTAGAAAATAAAAAAATTTGGGGGGGGGGGGGGAGAGACAGGGTTAATAAATACAAGTAAACAGAAAGAGAGAGAGACAGCAAAGAGGAAGGGAAAGAAAAAGAGGCGAGAAATTAGAAGACAGATACTGAGAGAAGCAATGTATTAAAATTAAGTGTTTTAAGACTAAATGGGGGTCTTAGGTCTGGGAAGAGACCACTATGCAGAGTTGCAGACTACCTGTTCTAGTGTATTTCAAACCTCTATACAGATTTAGCTAGCACTGTTCAACCTTTGCAGTATTTAACAGCTTGAATTTGCTCTTTTTCAGCACGGAAACCTAATTTTGAGATTAATTTTAAATACAGAACCTCTAGAATATCGTGTCTACTTAATAAGGTACTGAAAAATAGTGTTCATGAACGAACCTAAGCACTACATTAGAATTAAGAGATCTATTAAAGAAACCCACAAATCTCCTAGTGTCAAGTCCTAAATATAAATGCAGATTAGGTTAAGTCCACAAGTTCTTAGTTCAGGAAGTGTAATGACTTAAGTGTCTGGAGGCAGAAGCAACAACACACGGCGTCACTCCTTTCCGCTCAGCTCATGAGCTGGTCAGCCAAATCTGAACTAAGCAGGAGAAGTTTTACAGAAGTCATGTGGGAGTAGCAGTATTGTCCTTTCCACTCCAGCAAGAGATGAAAAGCAGCATCCCAGATAAAAGGCTTCATGCATCAGAAAGTCTCTGGCAAATCTTGGGAACTCCAGACTTCAAAGTTTTACCATTTACCATAGAATTCAGGAACAGTAATTGAATTTGAGATCCGAATCACAACGCCTGGGATTGTTCTTTTTATTTCAGCAAAACCTTCAAAAGCTCCCCGATGTGGATACGCACTATCTGCTCTTTCCCTGTTACTTTGCTTCACTCAACGCTTTGATCTTGCCTCTCTACTACTTCCCCCAATGTGGGAGACCATTTCTGCCTTCATCGAGAGGGAGACATGGGAAACTTCCTCAGGCGTTACCCACTTATATCAAAGCAGCTCAGAAAGAGGCTATAGCGAAGAACAGGGAAGACAGAAGACAAACAGGGAAAGCACAAGGCCCTAGATCAGTGATGGCGAACCTTTTAGAGACCGAGTGCCCAAACTGCGAACCAAAACCCACTTATTTATCGCAAAGTGCCAACACGGCAATTTAACCTGAATACTGAGGTTCTTACTTTAGAAAAAACAACTCATACATTAATTTAAGATGATCCAAACAAAGAAAGGAAAGCAATCCCAAATGCTTTCATTTACTTAAAATTATTTGGCAGATAATTCGACACTTTAATGATGGTCTGGGCCTGGCTGGGGCGATGGCATGCGTGCCCACAGAGAGGGCTCTGAGTGCCACCTCTGGCACCCATGCCATAGGTTTGCCACCACTGCCCTAGATCCTTCTCTACTCCATATCAAGATTTTGAGTGCCACATCACTGACAGCTGATAAGATGATTATCCATGGAGCTTTGTGTCCCCCCACCCCCCCGCTAGCCAAGCCACCAACTCTTACAAGCTGGGTTTAATTAGTTGGGTTATTTCTGTGTGTTCTGGAGCAGAAAACATACGTAGCCTTCTCCACATTTGATCTCCAGAGAGATGGCAGAAGCAGGGTAACTACAATGGTGGCAAACGTCTGACAAGCAGAGCTTTTTATCTATTCTGAAGCACCCTGAGGGTTTGCCTGGAATTATTTTTGTTCCTGTACTTCTGTATAAACACCAGGAGAAAGAAGAAGCCACACATGCTCGATCACATTCTCCAGGTACTTTCAGCTTAACTATTTCACTTCTCAGGGGATATGAAAAAAAAAACCTCTGCTCCTCTGCAATTCCAAGAGATGCTTTACTTAGGTCACTGACTACTCCTGTAATGCATGAATACAACAGAACCCTGAAAAATCATTAACTTGTTGACCCAAGCTTGAACAAGCAAGCACACTTCACTTATTGAGGAAGATGCAATTCTGAGAAGGTCTGTGGTGGCATGAAAAACTACACCTCCTTATGGTGAATAACTCAGACAAACCATCTGTTCCAAACTGGAAGCTGCCTCAAGAAAGAACCAAAGGGACCACAACAAGTCTGACAGCTGAAAAGCTCCAGCCCCGATGACATCCAAAATTTATTTAATTACATTTTTAAAAATTGCCTAATATCCGCAGGTGTGGGGCCCTAGGCGATGTACAAATTTAAAAACAATAAAAACCATACAGTCATTACCAAAAATATGTAATACAGTAGTTAAAAATCAAGAGGAGAAATTTTGTGAATCCCTCCCACTACCCTGTCTATGTTGCCTCATGGGTATTGGGGGGGGGGGGAGAAGAGGAATGAGAGATGTTAAATCCTTCAGGGGACAGAGATCCAGGACGGGTGCCAGCCATTATGTACACTGTCGCCATCCTCAACCAAATGCCTGGCGGAACATCTTTGCCTTGCAGGCCCTGTGGAATTGCATAGGATCCCGCAAGGCCCTGATGTCATTTGGCAGAGAGTTCCACCAGGTCGGGGCCAGGGCCGAGGAGGTCCACCAGAAGCCACTGTAGCTGGTGCAGCACAGGTCAAATATGAGCAGTCTGCAGTGTGTTCCTGTCAGGACCCGCTCTGCCGTATTCTGGATCAGTATTCTGGATCAGTTGGAGCTTCTGGGTCAGTCTCAAGGGCAAGCCAGTGTAGCGAGTTACAGTATTCTAGCCTGGAGGTGACCATCACATGGATTATTGTAGCCAAGTCAGGGCGTGAACGGAAAGGGGCCAGCTGCTGAGCCTGGCATAGATGGGAAAATGCCAGCTTGGCTGTACAAGTGATCTGGGCCTCCATATCTAAGGAGGCATCCAAGATCACACCCAAGCTCTTGTCAGACTGTGCCAGTATCAGTGGCAGCCTGTCAAGAGCAGGTAAGCTGAACCCAAGCCCTGATTAGCTCCCCCCCCCCCCCAAGCCACAGAACCCCTGTCTTTGTCAGATTCAGTTTCAACCTGCTCTTTTTAAACCATTC